AAAAAAAAAAGAAAAAAAAAAGATTAACAACATGAACAAGAAAAACAAATGGATAAAATAACGTTAATCTAAATTTCAAAAACCCTCAGAAACACGTGGAGAAATTACGATAAGATACGTCGACAAGTCCATTCAGTCAGCGAGAATCCCAAACCGACAAATTCCAAGTCCTTACTCACGCGCGTACGTTATTGATAAAGAAGTATACAACCACAGCTCTGAAAGAACATAATTCCATGTGTCCTTATAAGCTGTTTTCCTCCTGATATTGTCTCTCCGGCGATAAATAACTTTAATATGTGGGCGGAGCTTTAGAAATGAGGGAAAACAAACACACGAAAAACAGTATCCCCTCCCAAACCCCCTGGAGACAGGAGTTGAAACAGAATACACAGTGAAGTAGGAAAATACACGGGCGACTATGTCAAGACAAAGTTATCTGACTGAACAGGTGAATAATAATAAATATAATAAAAATGATCAAAAGAACAAATAAATAGCTAACAAATGAATAGATCAATACACCTATTCAGTAAACAAATAGATATGAATAAATAAATAAATGAATGAACAGATGAATGACAGATGAATATAATATAGATAATTGAATTTTAAAACTGAAAAACCAGACGATTCTTTGAGCGCAAGGCAATTACAATCAGTAAGGTAAAATGATAATTATGTTAAGTGCAACCATAAAGCAAATCATTGAGCTTTTGGTTGTTTCTTGTGATGTTTTTACCTGGAAGAAACTTTATCTCCTCTCTCACCGTGCAGGTGTGTAGAACGTGACACTTTCTCCAACAATGATAATAATGATAACAAGAATAATAAAAATAACAACAGTTGTTTGTTTTTTTCACTCTCTCAACTTTCAAGTCCGACAAGCACGACTTTTCCTCGGCAGCGATGGTATCTCGCGCTTATCGCTGAGCGCTTCTTTACAAGTCGCGCCGTTGTCGTAGGGCGGCGCGAGGCTCTCAAACGTCGTCAGGTTATATAGTGTCCAGGTGGGAGGGAGAAGCAGCAAGACGGTTATAAAAGAGGAAGAACAAGAGAGAGAAATTGAGAAAGAAAGTCACAGAAAAAACCCCCAAAATTTAAAGTAGTGGGAGAAAAGGCTGAGATAAGTAAAAGTGATATCGAACAGAGTCGCCAAACTCAAATCACCCCCCCCCCCCCCCCCCACACACACACACACACACAGTCTCTGCAAGTAAAATGAACTCTTCTTCCCACGCCCAGACTCGCATGAGCAGCACGTAAAAATATCCTACAACTTTGGAGCACCGAAACAAAAAATGCTGGCACGCCAAGATATCTACATAATGAATACGAGATTTACATAAGTGAATACTATCAGGATGAGGAATAACTTAACAAAAATTGCTGACCATGAAAAAAGAATATAACGAT